AGGGTGACTCAGTCCTGCGGGGGCAGAAAATGCCCCCTTAGGTATTGTCAGTACTAGAGATCTGTGTTCTGCTGAGAGCGGTCCCAGGTGAGTCAACACCAGAGACGCTCTCAAAGGGCTGTAGGGGAGGCACTCTAGGCAGTTCAGTGCTGTCATCTTTGGATAGTGCCGCATCAGTCCCAAGGTCAATGACGTGGTCATGTCTTTACTAGCACTGGCTTAAGCTAGTCTCCAGCTTGCCGACTCTTAGCAATCTCTTGCCCTGTACTGGGAAAGGAGATGGTGCTGAGAGGCAAACGGAGCTATGCTCTGCTCTTCTGCAGGCAGCAAGGGGAAATGCCTGCTCCAGCAGGGTGCGTAGCAGCGTCTTTGCACTCCTGGAGGAGGAATGAGTGCACACTGCCGCTCCAGAGCCTGGAGTGCCGTCCCAAGCAGACGGAGCACTGGAAGCATAGTTTGCTGGAAAAAAGGCAGGAACTTCTGTCTGGCACACCTGTGAATCAGAAGCTCCCCTCAGACTGCTCCATGAGGTAAAGATTTAGCGCTGACTCTCTGGCCTTGTGTGTGCGTTTGCTAAAAGATTTACAAATTGCACACTTAGAGGAGATATGACTCTCTGCAAATGCAAAAGGGCAAATAGTAAAGGCCCTTCAGGTGTTCATCCCACAGGGAAATTATCCTTCCATGGGAGAGAAAGGTCTTTAAACCTGGGGACATGGGTTCAGCCATGAAACTGAACACCTGGGATCAGCTCTCTCATGTAGATTTTGTGGCTTTTTTTGTTTGTTAAACCAACAGGCTAAGACCAGAAACACTAACATGTAATACCTGTAGTAACTGCGACCAGTAACGAACGATCTCTAGCGACTACAGGGACACTGAAGTTGTTCTGACTTGCTGCCGAGGGTGGTAAGAAGGAACTGAGGGTGGCTGGGGTCACACTGCCCTTTACCCTCTTGGGAGGGGGAGTGCAAGGGTGTGCAGAACACAGGCCTGGCCCCCTAAAAGACACTGCTGGTAAAAACATTCCAAACTCCCACATGTAGGGCGCATGTGCACCATGATCAAGTCTCTACTTGTAGATCCCAAAGCAGCAGTGCCTACCAGTCACCTCCCTGCCCAGATCACAGCTGCAGCCTCAAAGCCTTTGGAGAGAGCCAGGGTAACATCCAGTTTGAGCTTGAGGAACCAGAGATGTGGCTTTGGCAGATTTAGTGAACACACGTTAGTTCCCTCTAGAGCTTCTCAGTAGCTGTTTAAAGGGCTATTATCCACCAGGGCCTCCTTTTGCTCCCTTGCTCTGTGCACTTCTTTCCTGCCCCTTTCCTCTGAGAGGGGCAGCAAATAGGTTAAAAGGGAATGGGGCAGCTCCCTGCATTGCCCCTAGAAGGCCCCTCTTAGCCCAGGGGATACAGCTACTACTGCAAAGGGGAGGAAAAAAATGCATTTACAACAGAGTTTGTCACACTCACAAAAACAGTTGCACAATAATGAGATATGTATTCTAACACTTGGCTTTGAATGTCCATGATCCCCTGAGAGCTTAGGCTTTCCTGGGAGAGGTGGCTGCAGGAAGGAAATAAAAAAAATACACCTTTTCTTTGAAAGGTGGAAAACCCCTTTCCTAGTGACTTTATCCATCAGAAAGAAGATGAGTTGTACCAAGCCCAATTCTTTTCCCACTGCGGCTCCCTATCCCACATGCTCTTTCTCCAAGCTGTAGAGAGCACTTGGCTCTACCTCTTGCACCTGGCATTCCAGACACCTGGCATCACAGGTGAAACAAATCAGCTTTTAATGGTCTCCAGCCTCAACTCCATCCCATTCTGCACCAGGGCAGGAAACCCTCTCGCCACTGATTTTTGAAGTGGTTTCTCAGGACACAACTTGTCCAGGTTTTAAAGGATTTTGACAAATTGTCAAAGGTTCAGCAAAACGACAAGACTTCTCCAAGGTCTGGAAAACGTGTGTTACAATGAGAGACTAAGAGAGCTCAGTCTCTTTAGTTTAGCTAAGAGAAAGCCAAGAGAATTCAGATAGCAGAGGGCTCCTCAATCTAGCAAAGGCAAAATGAGATCCACTGGCTGTAAGCTGAAACTTCAACAAATTGGTTAAAATGTGCCCATTACTTCTATCCAGGCACTGTATTTTATACCCTTGCATCAATAAAAATTCCACCCTATCCCCCATCTTTGGCGACTCTCTTTCTTAGCCTCTGTCCCCATCCCTTACCAGCTGCTCCATAGCCCCACCCCAGCTGCTGGTCTCCTTCACAAGGTTTCTGCCTTTTAATTTCCTTGAGGAGGAAGGGCTGGAACTGGGGATGCCCTACACCAGTCAGTACTTCCTGGGATAAAAGGGAGGTTACTGGGAGATCAGCAACTGATGCTTTGGGCAGCCTCTAGCTCACTTTGCAATGCAGCAGCACAAGAGCCAGCCTTTGAAGCCTTGCTATCAATGCACCTCATACCCGTCACAGCTTCTGTGCCAGGCAGCTTGGCTGCTTATCAGGCAGCGCTTCATGGGAGACTCACTTTGACCCCGCAGGTTGCATGTGTCTGATGACTCACAAGGAAGCAGCCCACTTTCCTGGGATGTTAAGGACACTCACTTGGGTGATTCAGTGTGTTAGCACCTTGAGCACTTTCCCAACACATCTGTTCCATTCAACCTGCTCTCTGGGGAGCTACCTTGTGCTGAGAATCCCAGCATCACAGCTGTTACATGGGGCTGGTAGCCACGCACAAGCTGGTGAAGTTGAGGAGCCTGAGGACTGCAACTCACTGGGACAAAGTAAAGCTAGTTGTAGCTTCCTGGGGGCTGTCAGTGGAGACTTCCTCTCCTGGCATGCCAACCCTCTCCCTCCCCCCCGCCGAACAGCCTACTGGTAGGCTGTTATAAAATTGTGTCTTCTGGGCAGTGGACTGCACTTTGGCCACCTCCACTACACAGGTACAGAGCAAGAGCTGGACAAGTAGAACCCAGTCAGATTGGAAACCCAGCTGGCCTCTTTGTCCCCCTTGCATGGCCACAGCTAGCAGCTCTGTGCTGTGGTGTGTACAGCTCCCCACACAGCAGGTCACAGTGCTGCTGCTGAGATTTTCCTGGAGCAGCATGAGTGGCTAGAGATGAAGAGCTGGAGCAGACTGAGCGGATTTCATATGCCCTGGAGGCACAGTTGCTCAGTCCTGGCTGAGGCTCCTATTCCTACCAGTGTGATGAGATGCATAGATCTCACCCTGCCCCAGCAACAGGAGAAAGGAAAACAATTATAGAGAAACATCTCCTGTTGCCTGGAGAGGTCTGGCTGCCACAGTGACAATGGTGACGCCAGCAGATGATGCTCATTGACCTTGAAGAGAAGCTCGAAAGTGCAGCAGGTGGGGAAAAGGCAGCCTCCTCCCCCTTGGCTGAAAAAACAGGGAGAGGTGTTAGAGGCAGGACCCCCAATCTCTCCCAGTGTTTGAGGCCTGGGGATCTTGTGAGTCTGGGCAGCACTGCGAAGGGGTGCAGGTGAGTGTATTCCAAATTCCAACACACGCCTCACGAAGTGATGGAGCTGGTCTACCCTACCATGGGCACACTCCCCGAGGGCCTTCTAGGGGCTGACAGGCAGCAGGTGGCCAGGAGGAGAACGGCTGAGCTAGCACCACTTCTGGGTGGACGGTTCTGGGCCAGAGTCATCCAGCAACCCCTGCAGTTAACAGAAGCTGGGGATGTTCTGGAGCATGCCCTCGTCTAGATCTTTAAAATCCTAGTTCACAGCAAGGGACAGTGAAGAGTTGGCTCCACCTAGAGGAAGGAAGCAGTATAAAGCAGGCAGGACTTCACCCCAGTGCCAGGAAGGGGATGCTCCTTTCAGAGCCCAGCAGCTGAGTGCTGCTGTAGGCCAGTCCCATGCAGAGCCCCTGATTGAGCACAGTGGGCCAGAAAAGTTTTTGCTAAGCCCCAGTTAACACAAACACCTCACAAATGGTGCACTGGGAAAAAACAAAATGTGAGTATCCTAATGCATGCCGTTACAGCCAGGAGTGAACTGCACCTAGGAGCTCTCTCTTGGAGGGACCCTTTCCAAAGCATAGGGCTGTGCCACTCTCAAGGTGGACCCCCCCCCCCCAGTTCACCCCATTTTTAGACTGGATCACCAGGCTTCAGCACTTCCTCTTTACGAACTGTATTGACCTTGCAATTGGCTGAGACACAAGCTCTCTGTGTACAAAGCTTACCTGGCCCTTTCAATGACCACGTAACCAAAGGCTGGAAAAGCTCCTGCAGGCTCTGCCTCTCTAGGTCCTGCCAAATCCAGGAAGCTGAGGCTGACACCCCTGCCACTCCCATAGTGAAAACCATACCAGATTTCCTCCAGATTTTCTCTCTGTGTCTCAGAGGTATTAGGCCTTCATTATACATCCAAGACCCAACTTCCACCCCAAATACCCACACCCATTTTGCAGGTTTCCTTAAACCATGCCAAGCCAAGCCATGGCACTGCCATGCTTTGGTGGGGGGACAGAGTCAGGCCTTAGCCTCACAGAATTGGAAGGGACTTCAGGAGGTCATCTAGTCCAACCCCCTGCTCAAAGCAGGGCCAATCCCCAATTTTTGCCCCAGATCCCTAAGTGGCCCCCTCAAGGATTGAACTCACGACCCTCGGTTTAGCAGGCCAATGCTTAAACCACTGAGCTATCCCTCCCACACAGGGCTCATCCCCTCCAATAGGTGAATGGCACTAGCTTCAAACACAGATATCACAGACACGTGCATTTCCAACACTCCATCTCAAGTGCAACAAAGGGAGTCTCTCCCCTGTGGGGGCTCAGGAAGCTTTAGGTGCAGTGGTCTGACCTGAATTCCCAAGTTCAGCTCAGCAGCATATACAGCAATAACTCCTCAAAGACAACCTGGAGGACAACTCCTCAAAGACAACAATGCTGGAGACATTGGGCATTTCAGCGCTTTGCCCAGGCTGCTGCAGTGGTAAGAGAGATGGAAGCCAGACATATAGTGTAGCATGTTTACTGTGAACATACACATCCTGATATAGCGCAGAGATCTTTGGGTACAGCTTCCCCAGAGACTACAGACACAGACAAACCTGTACCATAAATACAGTCCTGCCCTATAGGCAGGACAAAGGAATACACTTGCTCTGGCAGATTGTCACTTTGCTGAAGAGGTGACATCACAGCCCCTGCCACTGCAGATGGGGAATCCTCTACCTGCAATGGCTCAGGAAGCAGGACCCCTGTAGTTACCATGCCTCTGGGCTTGTGCTTGATGCTCATTTACATAAATATATATTAAATAGTTTGTACTTTATTCACAATAGCGATTTCTCCTTATCAGTGCCTTACAAATAAAACCTGATTTGCTCAAAAAGCAGTTGCACTTTGTTTCTGTCACTGCAGGGCTCAGAGCTCAAACCTCATTCAGCCCTCAGGGACCAGAAAGACCCGTCTGTGTACCCGCCGTGCACCCCTCCTAGAGTGGGTACCATGCCCCTCCCTGCAGAATCCCAGCCCAAAGGGAACACACAAGGGTCAGCCACTGAAAGGGGTCCCCCCACAAGCAGTGGTCCCCAACCTGTCCCTGCAGTGCTCTAAGTAAAGCTTCTCATCCCACCCCCATTACCCTCTCTGTCCCATGCCCCCTGCCAGTGTTTCTCCCTACAATCAGACTTGCCTCTGTGCCCCCCCACAACCATCCCCACCTGGGGGTGACTGACAGGCGAGGTGAGAGAAGCAGACAGTTACCAGACCTGGCAAGTGAAGCAGTCAGGCTGGGTAGGGGCAGCAGGGCCCACAGAAGGAAGGAGCTGGTTTGGCAGCAGGCAATGCCCAGTGTTACCTATTTTTCATTCAGTCACATAAAAGCCATTTCTGAACAGGCTTGTCATGAACCTGCAGGCTAGGATTTCTCCGTTCCAGAAGCCACCAGCTTACAAAGGCACTCTCATCACACCGATCGTGCACCCTTGCCAAGACTCGGGATCATTCTCCTGCTTCCAAGGACACTGCAGCTTAACCAAGACCCTCAAGCTGCCCTCAAATCTCTTCCCCTGGTTTATTCCAACAGCCAGAGAGCAGGAGACCAACACCACAGTGCAGCTGGTCAGCACAAACATGCAGCTCTTGTATGTTCTGATGAGGCTTGTGGCTGCCACAATGCCCTTGTCTACCAGACCCTGTGCCCCTCTCCATGCAGTCAGTGGGCTGACACCAGCTGCAGGCAGCAGGCACCTCCTTTGGCCTCATTACCCTGACAGCTGTGGACCCACCTCCCCTTCACTCCTGGTTCCAGTGCCGCTGAAAAAGCAAGCCAAAGCACTCCCTAGGACTTCAGTGGGAGTTGCCCCTGCTCACCCAGCGCTGACTTTGTTTTCTATTTAAGGAAGGCAGGGATGCGTGTCCCTTGTCAGGTGGTGACAAGCTGACTGGTGTCTCTGAACAGAACAGACTTTTCCCCTGTCCCTTGAATGATCCATAGACCAGTCTCCGATAGTCAGAGCCTTGGAGTGCCAGCTGTGCTGAGCAGGGAGTGATGTAACATCTGCCCAGCGGGTTGACTGGAGGGCTAGAAACATTATGGAAGATATGGGCACAGCCGAGTCCACTCCACGACTGGGGAATCATACTGCTTCCAGACATTGACTGTCTCGGGGATTCTCTTTTCTTCCCAGCATGCTTGCCACAGAGGGAGATGCTAGTTCTGTAGCTCCTGCTGACTAGCAGGCTGCTCGTCCTCAACACTATTCTCACTGGACAGCTGTTGTTCCCGATACGGATGACTGGATGGATGCCGATCTGACACAGCATTATCTGTGGACAGCTCCTCTTCTTCCTTCTCCAGTATTTCCACCAGCTGCCCCTCACTTTGCTCCAACATCTGCATCACTGGCTCCTCCTCATCCAGCTCAGATGTCTCCCCTGGCACTAGTGGCCTGATCACATCTGGTTCTAACATCTCCCCAGCTGGCCCCTCTTCACCTGGATCTGACATCTTCCCAGACAGCCCTCTCTCACCTGGCTCCAGCTTCCCTTTCTCACCCAGCTCCCATGTTCCCCCAGCTGGCTTCTCCTCACCCTGCTCCAGCTCCACCAACTCATCTTTTTCAGATGTCTCTCCAGACAGCCTGGTCTTGCCCAGTTCCAGTACCCTGGTCTTGCCCTGTTCTGGCATGTCCTCAGATGGTTCCTCCTTGCTTGGCTCTGGGACCTCCAAGAGCCCTGGCACCCTCATCAGGCCTTGTTCTGGCATCTCTCCCAGGGGGTTGTCTACCAAGGGCCCAGACCCACCCAGCTCCAACTCAAGTGCCTCCCCCAAGGGCTCCATCTCACTCTGTTCAGGGGGCTGGCAGTTCAGTCGCTCTTCACTTATTTGGGGACTGATGGAAGGTTTCTCAGTGAAGCCGAAGCGAGCGTAGATCTCCATTGAGGTCGGGGAGGAGGGGCCTGCACTGGAGACAGTGCTGGAAGGGCCACTGCTGTCTGCAAAGCAATTCCAGAAAACGTCAGACAAACACTTAGAGAGTCAGTACTTAGCTGAAAACCTCAGCCAGAGTCTGTGCCGAAAAGCCTATTAAATGGCATGTAGCACATTCTCAGACATCAGCATCTGACTGCTCCCTCCAATGGGAAGGCAGCATATCAGGGTTGGAAGGGACCTCAGGAGGTCATCTAGTCCAACCCCCTGCTCAAAGAAGTGGTAGCAGATGACAGAACAAGGAGTAATCGTCTCAAGTTGCAGTGGGGGAGATTTAGGTTGGATATTAGGAAAAAAAATTTTCACTAGGAGGGTGGTGAAACACTGGAATGCGTTACCTAGGGAGGTGGTGGAATCTCCTTCCTTAGAAGTTTTTAAGGTCAGGCTTGACAAAGCCCTGGCTGGGATGATTTAACTGGGGATCGGTCCTGCTTTGAGCAGGGGGTTGGACTAGATGACCTCCTGAGGTCCCTTCCAACCCTGATATTCTATGATTCTATGAAGAGCCACTTCTCTCTCTCTCAAAAGTACATCTGGCAATTCTGTACATAGTGGACGTAACTAGCATCGAGCCCAGGAATGGAAAGGGAAGAAAAATCAAGCCATTACATCCTTTTATTTATTTATACCCTTCTGCAGACTATAGGACTCCACTATCAAATATTATGTCCACTAAGTCCAAAAAATTGTAAGTGGGCCATAAACAAACAGATAGCCCAAATCCCATGTAGCTGCTCTGCACATTTTTCCCATAGGTACACTCCCTAAAGAGAGTGATGCCATTGGTCTTGTAGTGCATAATCTGAAGTCTGGGGTAGGACCCTTAGGCTATGGAATAGTCACCTTCTTTCATTTTGCAGTGGGTGAAAGGCGTGATATAGATTTTCTGAATTATTTTCTCCTGTTGGTAGATATTTTGATTGCCCATGACGCAGCAAGATTTGGCCATCATGTCTCCTTGGGATGCCATGGGACCAGAAACAAGGAAGTGCTAATTCATGAGCCCTGTCAACCCTAGATAAAAGATCGGTCGGGATTCCAGAACTCTAAGGGCTATCATGTCCTTGTGAAATGTGCATTAGGGATCCATTATGGATAGTGTCCCCCATGCAAACTTACTCCCGGATGAAGCTATCACTGAGAACCACGACTGCACTCCTGCTACAAAGAACAGGGATGCAGAATAAATATTTAAATAAGTGGACCAGTTAGATCTTGTTACATGTCAGATGTAGGTTCTAGCATGGATACAAGCTTAGGTGTACATAAAACTATGGCTTGCACATCAGAACCCAGCAAGACCATAGCATCTTACTGAGTTAAGAGCTGCTAACTGGGACTCAGACCTGCAGACAGATCGCCCTGTGGGAATTGTAACTTACTGAGGATTGAAGGGTTCCAGGGATCTGCATCACCCTCAATACAGAATCTAAGGGCCTGTCTACGTGAACAATTAGTTTGCGGAAAGCTGGGGTCTGAATCTACCCCACACTAGCCTGCTGTGGGCTAACTATGCATGGGGAGCCTGCTTACAGCCTAACAGTTCGTTAATGCCCTTTGCTCTAGTCCCATTTCAAAGCTGACAGGATCAAAGAGCATTAACAAACCCAGAGTCCACATGGACATTGTCTGTGACAGGCTAGTGCGGGTGATTCACACCCCAGCTTGCCACAAACTAAATGTTTGCATAGACAAGCCCTAAGCTGTATCCTTGAGTCAGGGCCTCATGAGCTCTGTGGCCAGGAGAACTAAAGCGTGCAGCAAAAAGTCTCTGGATTCAGGGGCATTCCAGAGTGGAAAGCTGCATATCTTAAATTTAAATTAAAAGGTATAGATTTTTAATTAAACTAAAAATAATTAATCCATTCAGTATAGTCACTCCTGGGTTACCATCTTGATGTTGTATTTAATATTACGCTTTCCCCCCATTTTCAGTTTTGAATATACCACATATTTCTGTGTTGTCAACACAAGTGCACCATGAGGTTGCCAGGGGAAGCTGGAGCTTGTGATGCTGGGGAGGCAGTTTGGAACTATGGATAAGCACTTTCGCTGGATGTTTGTTTAAAGTGATCAGTTATTAACTAGTTTAGTTTATCTCGTTGTAAATGTCAATGTTGTTAAGGTACCAAAGTGAAGAGCCCCTGGGGATGACTGTACCTGCACTATTGTTTCATGTCTGCCTGGTTCACACAGTTCCTATGTGGAAAGCAGAGATTCTGGAACAGGGTTCTCTGGCAAGGGGTGGATACCATGGCAAATTCCAAGGCTGCAGAACTGTGGAATTTCTGGGGCTCTGCCTTGAGCATGCCAACGGGGTGAATTTTTATCCCAGTTGCTCATAACTTGCTACTCCTTGTCCAGAATATATGAGGGTTACTTTGGCCACGTCTACACTAGCACTTAAACTTTTGTGGCTCAGGAGTGTGAAAAAACACATCCCTGAGTGACATGAATTTTGTCAGCATAAGCGCTTGTGTGCATGGTGCTATGTTGGTGGGAGACAGTCTCCCGTCGGCAAAACACAGCTAAACAAGCACCTTCACAGTGGTACAGCTGTGCTGCTCTAAGCTTGTAAGTGTTGACATGGCCTTACTTGTAACCAGAGAGGACTTGTGCCTCCTGGGGGGGGCACAATGTGAAGGGGGGCCCAAGTGACCACCCCACGTGTCGCCTTTGGGAGGAACCTTCCAGCCCCTCCTCCCTGGGCTAGTTCAGTCAATCCTGCCAGCTCCTGGGGGGCTAGGGCTACAGCAGTGGGGAGCACATGTGCCTCTGGGCCTGGCTAGGAGCCCAGGGTATGGAAGCTGCAACTGGAAAATCATATTTTCCCTGCATCCGAGCAACATATCTAGCTCATTTTAAAATAGTAACCCTTTTTAGTAGGCAATTTTCTAGAATTAAGCAGGACATTCTATACCAACGAAAACATGACTACTAAGAGTAGCCAATATCTGACAGCCCAGGCCATGAGATGAAGAGACTGAGGATCTGGATGAAGGATCCTGCCTTGTTGCTGTAACAAGAGATCCGGGCACAGAGGAAAATGCATGTAAAGCCCTGCTGGCAGCTGATGCAGATTCATGGACCGCTGTTGTCTCAGACAAGTTGAGGCAATCAATATAATTTTTGCCCTGTCCTGACATATCTTTGTCACCACTTTCTGAATCAAGGTGTGTTGGGGGGCAGGGGGGTACACAGAAGGCTCCTTCCCCAAAGTAGAGAGAAGGCATCTGAAATGGACTGACTGGCTGTCAAACAGGTCTACATCGGGATAACACCAACAGGGGAAGATGTCTTGCATACTTGGATCTTTCAGAGACCACTCGTGAATCTGAACTGTCCCTGCTGAGGCTGCTAGCACATTGCTCTTGTCTGCTAAATGCAGGGCCATTAGATAGATCTTGTGAATCGCATAATCTGACCACCTTGGCACATACCTGGAAAGAACGAGGCCCCCCTTCCTTACTGGGGTAACGCACGGCAGGAGCGTTATCCAGTGCTCCCTGAACAGCCTTCCCACCTTTTATATGAAGAAGGAATGATCTGAGGGTCAAATGGGCTGGCTCTTAATTCCAAACACATTTTCTCAAAAAGCCCAGATTGTAAACCAGCGTAAATGAGCTGCCCATCCAGTGTTGGCTGCATCTGACGTTACTGTGACTGGGGGCGAAGGAGGATCGAACAGGACGCCTCAGAGTATTTGATCCGTTTGTCCATCACATCAGTGAATTTAGAACATCCTGAGGCCTGGTGACAAATATTTTCTGACTGTCCTGGCTAGGTATGTAGACCTGAGCCATCCAGTGCAGCACTGGTTTCATTCAGAGATGAGAAAACCGAGTTATGTAAGTGGTAGCTGCCATCAAGCCCACAAGATCCAGGAAGATGATCACTTTCCAAGATTGGCAGGCTTGAATCCGCAAAGCCACTTGCTCCATTTTTAGAAACCTGTCCTCTGGAAGTAAAGTATTCCCTGCTACTGAGTCCAGCATAGAACCTATAAAAGGACTTCTGAGCTTGATAGAAATTGAATTTTTTGACATTAAGAAGCAGACCCAGATCCAAAAAGAGGGAGACTGTAACTGACAGACCCTCACATGTAGCACCTTTTAGCTACCAATCCTCCAAATACAGGTAAACAAAAATACCCTGTCTTTTCAGATGTGTTGCTACCACAGAAAGGCATTTTCGAAAGACCCTTCACACTGTGGACAGGCTTAACGGGAGAACCTTGTACTGGAAGTGGTACCCTGCCACCATTAAATGCAGACATTTTCGATGACTATGTCGGCTAGAGATATAGAAGTAAGCATCCTTTAAATTAAGAGTGGCAAACCAATCCATAACTGCAGGCGAGGTAATTATGAAGGCCAGGGTTACCAGAGGAATACACTGGGGCGGGATGGGGTGGGGGTTTCTTCCTCACCCATGCAGGTAGTCAGCCAAAACATGAGCTTTTAGAAACATTAGAAATAAACGAGCAGTGAGCCCCATGGCTGCTGAGCCCTGCCACCCACCATCACAAAAACCCAGTCACACAATCACATTTTTAAATTTGACCAGCTCTCTTAAAACTAATTAAGTTGTTTGCCCCACAGCTCCTATTGGGAGGCTGTTCCAGAGCCTCACCCCTTGGATGGTTAGAAGCCTTCTAATTTCCAGCCTGAATCTGTTCTTGTGCCAACATTATCTTTTGAGTTTAAATACTGCTTCATCCTCCCTGCTATATACTCCACGATGTACCTGTAGAGTAACCATACCCCCTCTCAGCCTTCGTTTTGCTAGACTAACCAAGCCAAGCTCTTCCAATCGCCTCTCAGAAGACAGGTCCTCCATTCCCCTGATCATCCTAATTGCTCTTCTCTACACCTGTTCCAGTTTGAATTCATCTTTCTTGAACAAGGGTAACCACATCTGTATTCCAAATGAGGTGTTACCAGCGCCTTGTACAATGGCATTAATACTTTTCTATCTCTACTGTAAATGCCTTATCTGATACATC